CGACCCTGCCCGAGGTGTCTGCACTTACCTTGTAGGCTTTCACAAACCGGACAAACACCGGGAAAAACACCGAGGGGGGGGTCGTCTTGGGATTCTCCCCGAAGTATTTCACAGCGTCGTCGAAGGCATCCTGCAAGAAGCACACAGGGGCTGTTATTTCAAGACAAAGTCCCCGCCGTCCCCGCAGAAGTGGGTGCCGGGGTCTCGATGTGCGCACACAGCCGCGGGGCCCTGCAGCCCGCTCCGGCCGCGGAATGCAAGCAATATTGCAAGCATTGCAATATTTCATCCCTGAGGATTCGCCGTGCCCTCGTCCAACGCACGGCTGCTGCGGCCTGCGTCGGCTCTGGCACAAAGCTGCCTCTGGCACAGAGCTGCTGCTCTCGGTTGTTGAAATCCCCTTACCAACACGGAGAACCAACACACACCTGGGCTATTTTTGCATCGTCCTGCAGTTTCTTTAGCTTTCCCTCGTTGTTCTGAATGAACTCCTTCAGCATCGTGTTGTGGTCGTGCATGGTGTACTCCCGCTTCGTCAGGTCCAGGCCTCTCTGCAGCTCCTTCACGTCCAGCAGGACGTTTTCCAGGGACACTGGGAGACAAAGGGGAGCGCTGCGCGAGGACAGCTCCGTGCCCTCGTGCACATCGGAGTCCCTCGCGCTGCACCCCCGGCACCGTTGACACTGCCCTGCAGAGTCGCCTCTGCAGCAGCCTGCTGCAGGAGTGACCCCCACCCTGGCATCACTCCCAGCAGCCTGCTGGCCCAAGGAGTCCTGTCCCTTTTCCCGACCTGGCTTCACTGCAGGCCTAGTTGCTACCCCTTCTCAAACCAACAGGTCTCTCTTTTTTGCCAGATTGAGTCCAGGAGCTGCGGGCACAAAGGCAGGGAGCTCGCGGGGCGTCCTGGTCCCCGCGCCACGAGGGGCGAGCGCAGCCCGCGGCCCCCCACTCACCAGGTCCAGGCTCTGCAGCTTGAACCCATAGACAGCTCCTCGCTTACTGCTGTTCATGTAGTTACCCAGGGCCAGGATTATCTGCCGGCACAAAACGGAGCGGGCGTTAATCGTCAGCGTGAGCTTTCCACACCCCGCAGCGGAGTTTCCCCGTAAGCGTCCAGCTACGGTTTCAGCACATGAAAAGGGATGAGCTGGTGATTTTTTTTCAAGCTACTCAATGTAACTAAAGTCAGACCTACCTCCAGGATTTTCTTAAGCTTTTGGGATGACTTTATTGAGACAGACGCAGCTATTATTGCGTGAAGTTGCTACAGGTAAACACAGAAAGAGATCTGGTTAACGCACATCAAGCTCAAGTGTAAAATCAAATTCTGAATGCTGATATTCTGCAAAGAGCCCTGCCTTCTGATCTACACAGCTGGCCCTGGCAGCAATGTTATCCTGTCCTAACACACCAGGATTCCAAATAATTCATTTGCAGTGCAGATTTACCACGCTCAGAAGTCGTTGAGCAAAACTGTATTTACATTTCAACCCTTGTGACTGTGAAAGATGGATCAGACTGAACCAAACACACTTCAAAGGCCCAGAGCACAGCACTGAGAGCCATTTTCCCTGATGCCACAAACAATTAGATTTTCATTTGAACCAGTTTTAAACTCCTACAAGGCTAAAGAAGCAGGACAAGAAGGAGCTCTGAGGTACAGGCTGCCCTATGGGCCCCACGTGTGACACCTGGGTCCCCCGGGACACACATGCAGCAGGCACAGCGCAGGATACGGCAGCTTTGGAAAACAGCCACTTAACTCGCAGAGAAGCCACCCGCAAACCCCTCAAGTGACAGAGAGCAGCAGGATTGTTTGTAATAATTTGTCACAACATCTTTGTCATACATCCCCAGGCCTCTAGAGTGATTTAGCGCACTCAGTGCGGCCCAAGCATGCACGAGGAAAAGCAGCTAGGAAAGCTTCTTTCCTTTGGCATAGTTGTTTCTCGGTCTGTCTCTGTAAGAACGTCATTGCCTGGACGACACCACTGGGGTGTCCTGCGAGGCTCTGCCCCACACAGGCTGCCCAGTGCAGACTGCAGCCCTGACGAGGAGCCAAGCACCCGGGGAGCCCCGACGCCACCGCGCCTGGCGCATCGTGCGGGTGCATCTCACTCACGGGCGTCAGCATCTGGATGCTTTCGGCAAAGTTGCCTATGAAGGCCATGATGGTCATCTTCTGCATGAGCCTCTCGATCTTGCTGAACTGCATCATGAAGCGGTCCTCGTCGGACAGGTTCTCGATGGGCTTCCGCTCCCGCTCGTAGAGCCGCAGCACCTTCACCTCGTTCTCGGTGGGCAGGAACCGCATCAGGCACTCCACAAAATCCACCGGCAGCGTTTTCAGGTCAAACCTGAGGGAGAGCAGACCAGAAAGAGCGGTGCTATGACTAGAAGCAGTAAAGGACCAAGCAGAAGCCACCGCTGCCTAGTGATGCCAGGGACGGAGCTGCAGCCTGCAGAGCGCAGCCAGGGCAGCTCGTCCCCACCTTGCTGAGCCAGGGACAGGCTCTTATGTACCTGGGCCAGACTCCTGCAGCCCCAGCAGCTGGACCTGCAGCAATCTGGCAGCACCTTGGCGTCACCCTCCTCACCAGGCTAAACATAATCGCTGTGCTAAAATCCACATTTTTGGAGATATGCTGCTGAGAAGTAACAGATGTTGGCCACGGCCACAGGTACTAACTGCTTCTGGATTCATTTAGGCAGAGCTCTAACGAGCGGGAACATCCGTGCTCTGTCCCAGGAGCCGCTAGAGCAGGCGAGTGAAGAGCTGTGTCACCAGGTCCCAAAGATCAAAGCAGCTAAACCCGGCCTGCGGGATGCGGAGTGGCAGAACGGCGCCCTGGCCCTGCGCCGCGCGTCCACCTGCACCACGTTTGTGTCTGGCACTGCGGGTCATTGCACAGATCTAATCCCATGCAAAACCCCTCCGCTGCGCTTGGATTAAACCTGTACTTCATGGAGCAAACTGTAATAGTTGCCCATTCCTGACTTTTATGTGTTTGTTATAACAGAAAACACTGTGTAAACATAATCAGAGCTGCCATACGCCATCTCACACTACGGATAAACATGAATTAGCTGCTCTAATAAAAGAAGTGCTAATTTGTTTGGCCCCTATAGTGATACAGTGACACAAAACTGCAAGTCAACACATTTTAGTACCAGGGAATCTGATTTGTGGGCGCTCAGAGCAGTTCCATCCTTATACTTGGGTTTTTTCCAACTGCAAAAACATTTACATCAACTGCCAATTCAAAATCATTCCATTTACCAAAAAGCAGGGTAAATCTTAAATATAATTCCTTTGCTGACAAGTGTTTTACTTACACGTGAATAGCTTTGCATATTTCATCTGCTGTCTTTCCAGCTTTCCTTAACGTAATGGCAAGATTTTTGGCCCGGTTGGCATCCAGTAACGTGACTTTGTTCGACCCTTTCTGTGTTATCTTTTGCTTGCTTGAAGTAAGATCAATGGCCGGCCCTTGGGCTTTTGTTTTGAATATTTCTTCAAATTCATCCACATTTAGGTCCTAGGAAGAGAAGGAGACGATGCACTCGGTGTTGATCTGGTTGGGCTTGAGCGCAACCCAGTTGAAGACGGGCATGCGGAACTTGGTCTTGATGGGCTTCTTGATTTTCACAGCTAAAGAAGGAGAGGGGAGGATGTGACGAGCGCCCCGATACCCGAAAAGCCCCCGAGCGCCCGGACGCGGCTTTCCAGGGGGCATTTCAGCACTGGAGGAAGAACAGCCAGAGCTGGACTCTGCAGAGACCTGGCTGCCCAGGACGGACAGGCACGGAGCAGGGAGGGTCTGCGAGGCCGAGGACTGACTATTGGCACTGCCCAGGGAACCGAGCAATGGCTGAGGCCAGAGCAAGGAAAGGACATCTCCCCCTTCCCGTTTCTCACTGAGCTGGGAGCTATGGGTGTCATTTCTGTACGGCAGCTCTCACTGCACGCAAACAAATTCAGCTGCTACAAAACTGGAACGTTCATTAATGCGATCAACAAACGGGTTACTCCAGAATCGCTTTAAAAATAACTATTTCTTTAGAGGCCGCAAGCAGGACACAGAAACAAACCCTGGGTTTTCTCCTCCAATGCTGGAAGCGAATGCCGCTTGCAAACCGTGCTGGGGGGAGCACCCTGAGACCCCCCGGACGCCTGGGCCCCCGCTCCCAGCACTGCGGGGTACCTCTGCCCGCAGGCAAGGATGGTTTGTGTCCAACTCCTTGCAGTTACTGCTTGCTCCATGACAGAGCTCCTGAATCCTGCCCACCCCGCCTGCAGCTGGAGGCATCTTGCTCATTATTTGGCATTCAGTGCAGGTGCTGAACAGATGCCCTGAGTTCAGGCCAGTCTCCCCCCTGCAAAGCACTTAAGCAAATACTCACTTTACCTTCCCTGGTGATTTTGTGCACTGCTTTTGCAGGGCAGAGAGCATCATTTCAGGGAACACTCTCTGCTTGCGCACGGGAGCGGGAAAATGCTGAGCACATTTCTCTCACTTCCTCATTCAATTTTCTAACCAAGAATTCTCTCACGTGTTCTTGTGCCTTTCGGGCTTGTGCTCATTTTGCAGGGACCTTCTAAAGAATAAATTACTGGCAAGAGCACTTGATTGCAACAAGGAGCTGTAAGTGCATACCAGGGAACACAGTGAAACTGCAGGCTGTGCGTTTTGAGCATTTGCTGTCCGGCTGGGACACACACAAGGGACCAGTTTCTGTGAAGCCAAACTAACCACAGCTTCACTCTGTGTTGGTAAGGTGGTTACTCCAAAATAATTCTTAACATACAAAAAGAAATATTTTTTTTCCAAGGTGCAAACACCCATGAAAAAACATTTTCAGCTACTGCATACATTGGAGCTGCTTAGTAACTGCTCCTGCATTATTTAAGGAGAGGAAAGGGAGGTAAGTGCACACGTGCCCAGCTCCTGCCGCAGCTAATCCAGATATTGCAAAAATCCCCTTCCCTGTCCTGGGGACGGGGTGACCGCGCGGCAGCACGGAGGGCACCTCCGTCTGCGCAGAAATGACCCGTTTTTGAGCACTTTAAAGAGCCCAGCTAAGAAGGCTCAAGGGAAAGGGCACCCACGAGTTACTTGCTGAACTGCTTTGCTGCCCCTTGCTGCTGCCCCAGCCCCGCTGCCCGCCCACCCCTGTGCCCCCCGCGCAGGCACGCGGGGAACGCGGCGCGGAGCTAGATACTTAGCAGGGAGGAACCTACAGAAGAGCTTGATGGGCCCATCTTCCCGGGGAGCAGGAAGAACAAGGGAAGAAAACGTTAGTGAAGGTTAGAGCAGCATCGTTCACGACTCCAGCCTCGTCCCGCTGCCCGGACAGGGCACCGCCTGCGCAGCCGCATCCCCAGACGAGCACCGCAGCTGGGGACACGCAGCCAGGGGGCTGTTTTTAACAATAACCATGAGCCTCAACTCTCCCTGTGCTTTTGTCCTTTTTTTTTTTTTAATACAGCCCTTTCACCATTGCTTCCATGGTGTTTTCTCTATCAGAGAACCATCTACAGGCGGGAATACTTAACTGCTTTTCAGCAGCACTGCTAATCAGAGCTCCTCGGGCTCTCCTGAGCTCCGGATGAGGGATGTGATGCCAATTAACACTCACTTGCTGCCCGAGTTACTCAGGCCGTGATAAAGAGTGCACTGAAATACGATTAAAGCTTGTCAGGAAATTTTTCTTCCTTCCAAAAAAATTAGAACAAGAAGTTTGCCATTTCTTGCCCAGATATTTCTTCATCGTATTCTCAAAAGAATTCAAACCCATGAAACTTTGGGGGGTTTTCAAAGCCATTTTCTTCTTTTGTTTAAAGCCATAAATCATCACGTTATAAAAATATTTCTGGAAAAGGCTTCAGTTTCACTGAGGAAGCCGTCTCTCCCAAGACCAAACCTAAACCAGTTATTTGATAAATGCACTTTCATTTTTTAACTCCCTGTGTGTATGAGATAACGGCTGTTGATTAGGCAGCTATATGTGAAGCAGAGCCCCATCTCGGGTGCTGTGGCCTCCAGGCACATGCCACATCCTCCCCTTGTCCTTGCTCCTTGCATGGCCAACGTGCCCTGTGCCGGGGGGACGCGCGGGCCGTTTTACCTGCAAGTCCTGAGTTGAAAACCACCGTGGGGGAGGTTCCTGGCAAGGGGGGAGCCGACGAGAACGGGTCGGTGCAGGTGACGGGATGCCCGGGTGGCCTGTGCTGGAATGGGATGACTGCCCTGAGAACAGGGCACCGATCTGTCCATCAGCGTCCACAGAAACTGCTCCGCTTCCCGCATCCACATTCACAACCCACCCGTGAGGCGAAACCAGGCCCGAGACCCACCCCAGCCTCATCCCACGCGTGTGCAGTGCCCCCGGCGGAGGCCTGGTGGCTCCTTCTGCCGATCTGCAGCACTGCCGCAGACCATCCATGGGGCTTTCTCAGCTCCAGGGCAGCGCCACAGACCGCGGGCACCACGGGCACTGCTGCCAGCCCCCGCGGGCTCCCGTGCCACCAGAACGCTCCTCACCTGCCTCGGGCGCTGCTGCTGACACCGGCAGAGGTGGCGGAGGTGGCGGCAACGGCACCGACGGAGCAGCTCCAGCGCCGGCTCCAGCACCGGCGCCAGCCACGGCTTCCGACCCTGCCGGCAACGCGCCGGAGGCCAGAGCCACAGGGAGAATGGAGATGTCCCCGTCACCCTTCTTCTGGATTTTAATGGTCCCCTGCTTCTCCAGCTCGTGGATCTTCTTCTCCAGCGTTGACTGTCGCTGGATGGCTTCCTCTTTTTCTTTGACCATTTTTCTCAGTGTATGAACCTGGGTGTTTGCGTCTTTGTAGATTTCCTAAGAATGCCACAGAAACAGGTTATTTTTTTAGTTATATTGCCAAACCCAGAATACCAATACCAGAAACAGAAGAACAGCTTCATAAGGGATTGCACGCTGCGCCCAGTCATTATCCAGCAACAAGTCCTGATGCAAACCATAAATCCTCATTTGCGAGGAAGAATTCAGTTTGCTTTTTCCCATGCTAGCAGAAAGGCTGGAGCAGTAATGAGTCCTTTGGGAAATCTCAGCGGTGGACACCCACTCCAGGGAATACAGATTGTTTTTCATCACTTTTTTATGCCCTCATTATGCTAATCTTAACTATATAGTGTAGGTATGCTACCTAGATTTTCACTTTTAGCACAGGCTACCTGATCTTGCTGTCTGCTTTGCTTGTTGGCAGTTGTTGCTCCATAAAGAGGAGCAGGATCGGAGCTCCTAACCTAGGAGAGAGGTTGTTCCTGCAAGTATCTTGGGCAGACATTCAGAGGAAGGAAGCCCGGAAGCAGCCACACTTTGGGACAACACTTGGGCTAAAAAGTTAGCCAATATTATATTAATAATTTGTGTTAGTAAAACGGTACATGAAGAAGCAAGGAATCTGGCTTGTGTATGGGAAGCAGTCTGAGTGTGACTGTATCAACACAAGCACTTGATCCCTGACTGTAAAAGGCTCCATCCCACCTCTAACTCTCCTCCAGAGCCAACGGCACATGCAAAACTCCCAACGGGAATAATCACAGTGCTTGGTGACAGGACAGGGCCATCTAGTTCCCTGATTTGCTCACGCATGCGAAGAGTTAACTGTCGATTTTTCTGCACGCGCACACAAAAATCTATCTGCAGTCTATGCTGCAAAGCCAGCAGAAACAGCTCAGCGCATTTAAAACGTTCACTCTCCACTAAACACAAACTGCACTGCAGATCCCTCTGCAGAAACGTGGCACCTGGCCACAACCTTACCATCGCACTTACCCGAATCACATCCAGTTCTTTGTTTCTCTGCATGAGCTGTTTTTCCAGTTCCACAATCTTTGCCATTGCTTCATTCTCCGTATCTTGGAGTTTTTCAGATAACTGTCATTCGAAAGAGAAATAAATTATATAATGGCTAATAATAGTTTTCTTAACCAGAATGGCGGTACCACTTATTGGAACGATGATATGTGACAAATTATTGCTCTTCCACCAAATCCAGAAGTGTCTGTGGGAAGAGCAAAGACGTCGGGACGCGGTGCCGGCCGCGGGGAGCCGTGCGGGAGGGCGGCTCGCGGGGAACGTGAGCCCTCGGCACGACGGGCCGGCAGCTCCGCAGAAAGAGCAGCTCTCCCCCTTGGAGCACTCAAAACACAGTTATTCCCCAGACACCAACTCCGATTCAAAAGCCCCCAAAACACATGGCAGAAGAGTCTGTCAATACTGCAGGGACGAGTCTAGTCTGTGTAACGGGAGATCGGAGGAGTTAAAAATTTGCCACAGAAGCACACGAACTTTCTACCCACCTAAAGCTGCAGACATGCTAAGCAAACTGCCATATTTGCTATATCATTTTTCTTAGCAGAAGGGCACCTCATAGGGCCATATATGGCATAGTGACTTCCTTTATGACTACTTACTCAAAGGGATATAGAAATATATCCCTTATATTATACTATGTTAGTCATATAGAAATGGGAACAGCCCTTTTATGATTTTCTTTTTTAACAATGGAAAATATTTTCATTTTAGGCAGCCAAACCAGATTTTCTGGATGAAAGCAATTGCAGCAGGAACGCAGGACAGGGAAAGCTGCAAGGCAGCAGTGCCTGCACGAGCACAAGGCCGCAGTGCCTCCGCGACCAGCGCGCCGCTGCAGCCCGGGGTGCCGAGCCCTTCCCTCGGCCCCTCGTGGTGGGATTTAAGCCCACGGAGCAGGTTATCCGTCCTGTGCCCACCCTCCTTCAGCCTGGGAATGGCAGCGGGGCCACGTGCAGCAGCTCCTGCCTCCACAACCTCCTCCTGCTTTCCCCAGTGCCGGGAGCTGCATACACGGGGCTGTATTTACAGCACGGAGCGCTTATCAGCGCTCCTGATTGCACCGTATTGCTCAGGAATTTGCAATTTATATGTAAATTAGCTTTTCCAGGCTTAAGATAACTCTTTAGAGAGGCGCAGGGCGCAAAGCGATCCCATGTGGAACCGCAACCCAGCTGAAGTTACCCAGCTGCCTGAAAGGAGGTTGCAGTGAGGAGTGGGGCGGCCTCTTCTCCAAAAGAATTACCCATAGGACAAAAGCAAATGGCCTCATGTTGCATCAAGGGAGGCTCAGGTTAGATATTAGGAAAAAATTCTGCACGGAAGGAGCGGTGAAGCCTTGGAACAGGCTGCCCAGGGAAGAGGTAGAGCCACCATCCCTGGCAGTGCAGAAATGTGTAGATGAGGCACTTGGGGACATGGTGCTGAGGGGCTTATGGTTGGACTCTCTGACCTTGAAGGTCTTTTGCAACCACAATGATCCTGTGATGCTATCAAGGTACTCGTGTGCTACTCGTGTGCCATGCAAGCCCTTCGGCAGGCAGCACGGACCAAAATGCTCCTCGACATACACAGAAAGTCCTACTGAGTCCCAACAAACTCATTTTTTTAAGAGCAAAACATTGCAGCAAGCAGTGTGTCCATTAACTATGCGAATATGAAGTTCAAAAATATAGCTCGCACTGTGACTTTACGAGTTTCCGTATGCTAACAAAAGCACAGTCCCAGCAAAGAGCCACAGTGAAACTGAGACCTGACATCATTCTGCTCCCAACATGAATGATGTTAATCCATATAAAAGAGAAGTGTCCAGCCATGCCCACTGCTGTTAATTTAAAAGCATGTCTACAATTAAAAAAATAAAAAGAAAAGCAGAAGTGCGATTTTTCAAAACTAAAAGCCCACAGTGTAATTTCCCAGCTGAGGAAACAGCGGCACACAGGTCCACAAAGAGAGAGCTCAGCACATTCACCTGCCCGAGATCCAGAAGGTCTTCATGGGCAAGTACCTCATTATTCCCCATTAAGAGCAGCACAGTCGTCCAGAGGCTTCTTTTAGGCAAATACTCCTCTCACCCCAGAAGCTCTATCCCTGGCCAAGCCCCTACTTTCCTCACCCAGAAGAAACTGGCAATCCCAAAGCATTAATGTGCAAGCTGAAACAGCGGCCTCCGAACGACTTCAAAGGCAAAGTGACCTCGGGTTTGTACTAACATGAGAAATATTTTCTTCCAGTTCTTCAACTCTTTCCAAGGCAGCGTTCTTGGTTTCAGCATCCTCCAGCAAAGCTCCCACATCAAAAACATTATCCAGGTAGGCCTGAATTTGCACCTGCAGCTTGTCGCTCTCGGTGTGCTTCAGTTTCTGCAAACCCAAGAAGAGAAGAGAGTCACTCAGCAGAGGCGGAAGCAGCAGAATCACACGCAGTAAACGCGGTGGGAGCTCAGGCCATTTCCATCATTTAGAAAAACACTTAGTGTTTTAACATTAGCAGCGATCCTAAATGACAAACAGACTTCTATAAAGTGCCGAGCTTCGAAATACAATTAACTGTGCCACCCAAAGGGCAGCAGGGCTCCCTTTGCCCTGCGTGCAGACAGCAAACCGAGCAGAGGCGGCAGAGACAGCCCCATCCCTCATCTGCACCAGCGCTGCCTGCGCGCAAACGCTCCCGGCGGCAGGAGAAGGGGAGAGAAAAACACAGAGCGCGAAAATGAAAAGTTTATTTTTAAAGAGAAGAGCTTTCTTTTCAACGAGCCTTTCCCGCAGGAGGCCGGGAGATGTCTAGCTGTCAGGAGAAAAGACTCTAAGCAAAATCCAAGGGGAGTTTTCCAGGCGGGCGGCGGGCCGGCCCTGCAGCGTTCCCTTGCTGCGGGAGCAGGGACGTGGGCAGCGCTCCGAGCCGGCCCGACGCAGCGCGGGGCCCTGGGCACGGCCGTCGGGCCGGGCCGTTCTCCGCTGCCCAGGACAGCGCTGCCAGCGGCGCTCCCAGTGCCCAGCTCCACTGAGCAGGGGCCCTTCTTCCCTTGCTGCACAGGGCATCCAGCACCCAAGGGCATCGTGTTTTTAGCGCGGAATAGGAGACCCCTGCTCCGGGCCAGCTTACCCAGCTTGGACCCTGCAGCCCCCGGCACACGGGACAGTAAACCCGCTCGTACTCACGTCCAGGTACTCATCCAGGCCCAGCTTTGTAAACTCGTACTGCAGGTGGACTCTGAAGTTCATGTCTTCCACGGAGTGGACAACGATGTTGATGAACTGCATGCAGGCCACCTGCGGGAAGGAGCAGCGCAAGGTGAGCGCCCCGAGGAGGGCTGGGGGCACCGGCGGCCTGGGGAAAGGCTCCGGGACAGCGGGGGACGCGGGGCCGGAGCTGGCACCCTCCAGCAGGCCCCGCTGGGGCAGACCTGATGTCAGCACACGCTGTTAGCGACTGCATTTTATTATGTTTACTCTACATGGAAACTGTGAGTTGCTATTCTGCATCTTTTCTTTCAATGTTTGTGCTGGGTTCCAGCTTACACCGAAGGGGAGAGCGGTCCCAAGAGCTTAGTAATGTCTGCGGGTGCCCGCGCGGCCGACGCGCGCCAGCCTGCGCCGCGAGACGCCGCGCGCGCGGGAAACTGCGCCGGCTTCGCGAGGGCCTCAAAAACGGAGATGGGTTTTGCAACTGGAAGCCTCGACGCTGAACGCAGGGCTCTCACAAAGGACGCTTTGTTGCTTGCAGGAAATGTGCTTCCAAGTGCGTGGTTTGGTAACTGAACAAGGGGCCAGGTCATAGGAACCCAACCAAATCCAAGCACGGGGCAGGAAAGAGAAAGGCTCCGTGGAAAGCGGTGCTGGGGCTGCCAGGCACCAGCTCTTTCGTTAGCACGAGGCAGGGCCAAACACGGCTCTGCACAGAGAGGCCCAGCGCTCTCGCAGTGCAAAGGGATTGATGCGCGCCTGCGTTTGCCCCTCTGGGCTGCTTCGAGAGGGTTTTGCACTTTCCAAGCTAGAACACCTTGTGCCAGGGCAATGTTTGCAGGGTTTTCAGTGTACCGGAGCTCTGCTACCCACCCGGCAGCACAAACCACGCCAAGGTCACTGCGATACCTGCCTGGGACCACGGGCTTGGAGCAGGTGCCCCAGCCTGTTCCCTCAGGCTCTAAGGGTTCACCTAGGGGCCCAAGGAGGAGTGATATCTCATCTCCTCTTAGGTTGAACCCATGTCTTGCAACAACCCTGTCTGCACAGACCGAGAACTGGCTCTGGGTTCCGAGTCTTTGCATCCTGGAACTTCCTCTCCAGTTAGGGCAGAGGGGAAGCGAGGGCTGCAGGACAGTCTGCGCTTGTGCTCAGCCACTACAACCACTTAAGTTACTCCAGCTTTAACTTCACACGCCGGGGCCTTGCCTCTGGGACCTGCTTTATCCCATCCTGGAGAAACGAATGATTTTCGCTTCTTAATGCTGCCCTGCTGAGAGGTGCAGACCCCCTCGCTGCATCGGCGCGGGACCCCCGAGAGCAGCGGTCACGAGCGCATCCCGCGAGCGCGTCCCGCGAGCGCGTCCCGCGGCGCCCGCCGTACGCTGCTTGTAACAGCGGGCGGATCGAGTTGGGGCCAGATGGTGACAGAAGGAGCAGATCTGCCAGATCATGTGTCATGAACTCGCTGTCTCGCCAAGCTTTGGGCTTGTCACAGATTCAAGCCCTTAGTAGGTGGAAGCAACCCAAGGATGCAGATTTTTATTAGCATTTGGGCAAGCCCTGGAAAATGTTTGTTTTCAAGCCAATTTCACCGCTGCTTTCGACCTACAGCCTGCAAACGCTTTGGGGTGAAACAGGCCATGCACACTGACGCTGAGCACGGGCCTGGTGGCTGCCTGGCCCTGGGCACTCACACGCACTCCCTGCCCTCACAGTGCAGCATTCAGTACCTTAAATAAAGATAATGCTTTTCTTTAAGAAGAGTGCCCAAAGGCCATAGGAAAATACGTACCTTGCTGCCTGAACTCTTAATTCCTGTCAAAAAGATGTCTCTAGCACAAAGAGGCCTTAACAGAAAAGGCTGAGTTTGAGGCACCGGCAGCAGGGAAGGCTGCAGGGACCGTACCCGTGTGTTTTACCAGTCACAAGTAAACACAGGACTTGAGTTTCTCAGCTTTCTAAGTGGCCCTGCCACTCGCTTGCCATGCCCTTGGGAGAAACGGATGCAGAAGGGCATCTGAGCCCGCGTACGTAACCGGGGGGCTCATCCTCAGTGCCACGAGGCTCCGCGTTGCACACGCTGCCAGCGTGCAGGCTGCCCTCTGCGGCCCTGGGTGCTGCTGAGGCTCTTCCTCTGCTGCTATTTTCGCTTGTGCTTCAGGGGAAGTGGATTTGGTGAATAATGATGCATAAGCATATTGAGGAACTCAAAGTGTTGAAAACTGTTATATTTGTCTGCAGATAAGGACAGACAACAGCTGCAATGAGTCTTCCCCACACTTCCTTGTCTGTGATTTTGAGGATGTTGGCACACGTACAGAATATTGCATATACATCTAGATACTGCAGGTACTGCTCTTCTGCCCCAGAGAAACACACGACCAGAAAGGCATTTTCCAATTACCTTCACCACAGCACATAACACTCCTTGGAAATAACTGACACTAAAAATGGAGGGTATATTATATAGTTCGGAATATAAAAACTGCATTGTGGTAACTGTAGACCAAGGGCTGGGAGGTAAATGCAGCTCATGCTGTGCAGGGCAGCAGGGGCAGAGCCAGTGGCACAAAGTCTGCTGCTGAAGCCAGGACTCACCATAAAGTCGATGTTGTTGTCCTCATTTCGGAAGTGCTCCATCAGCTTCTCGAAGCGCTGCTTCTCCCCACAGACCTGCAAAGGAACCACCATGTGTTTGTTCAAATGCAGCACCCAGACAGCACCTTATCTGCTCAGGGCTTCCTCGCCCGTCAGGAACACCCTGGAGCCCCGGGGCCGAGGCAGCGCAGAGCGACGCGCGTCCCGTCGGGTCACGGGCAGTTACACGCTGAATCTTCCTGCTCTTTGTGCCTTGGAAAACCGAACCCCGTGTCCACTGAGAGCGCAAACACACCCATGGGGTTACACCAGGCTTTGCCATGGGACAACGCAGCATCTGCTACAGCCAACACAAGTTTCCAACTGCAGTATAATTAGGAAAAAGAGGAAATTACAGCAGAGGGGAGGAATTATCACGGGCTACCTCAGGACAAGTCAGCGTGACCGTCGCTAGAAGGTGTTCGAGGGCAATCCCGGGCTGCTGGCGGGAAGAGCGAGCGCCCGAGGCAGCAAGCGGAGCCCCGGGCAGGGCAGCGCGGTGGGGAAACCTCCGGACTTCCCACCACTCCATTTCAGTCCCAGTTTCTCAGCATATGAACGACCTAGAGCAATTCCCACCAGAACATCAAATAAGCTGGAAAGCGAGTGCAAACGTGGAGCGAGCGGGAAGTGCGGCCACACGCTGCGGAGCAGGGAAACCTGCCAGCCCCGGGGCATTAAATCCCAGGGGATTATATCCCCATCGCAGGACTGCCACGGCTGCTCCTCGGCAGCCCCTCTCCTCATTGAGCCCTCCCCGGCCCGCCGCGCTGCTCCCATTTCCAGCTCCTGTACCAGCTAAGGCTGAGGGGCCTCAGGAACATCATGCGACGCGCGGGGGCCTTGGACCAGGGACAGAAGGACCCGCACGGCCACATCCCGCGTGCAGGGTCTGCAGCCTGGCCAGGGCACGCGCTGCCGCTTCCCTCCGGAGCCGGCCCGGCGGCACCGCGCACGTGGGAATCAGCCCAGGACACAGCTACGGACTGGCGGGAGCAGGGGGCACTCCTGATGTGGAGAGCAGACTCTTCAGGACAGGCTTTTGCCCTTCGTATATGTTTTTACACTGTTTCCCACTGTGAGACGTCAGTTCAGGTTTCCAGATACTCCTCAAAAGCCAAGGAAAGTTTACCGCTGTGTTCAAACCAGCTTTCCATTCTTAACTGCATCTATCTTACAGTACCACGCCAAGACTAAGGCTCTGAGCCGACTCCACTTAGGTCTGCAGGAGGTTTTCCATAGTGTTTCTCAGGACCAGTTCACAGCTGGGCAAGCTGGGCGTTCTGCTGCCTCTCGTTAGCACTGAACAGAGCCCGGTGTGGTGTGTGACACATTTCTACCACTGCCATGCAAGACTGCCACTGCTGAGTTATTATCCACCTATTTGTGGATGACAATGGGAATTCTGCCACTGGATCTCCGCGCGAGGTCACTGACATGGCTATGCTGGGCTGCTTGGTATCCCTGCCATGAGGGTGCTCCGGGAATCCACTCCACCCCCCCGGGCAGCCAAGCCCAGCCAGTCACACACAGCATCCCCTTAAAAGGGCTTTAAGTGTGCAGAACACTCCCAGCTAAGCCTAACGCATGCACAGATGAGAATAAATACACCTGGGTTCATTTCTTAGCAGAGGAGGAGTCCCTGGGCCACAGAAAGGACCAGGGTGTTTGCAGAGACACCAGCCCCTCAGCTTCACGTTCCAGATCTTCAGCCTAATCTCAGTGTTTTCTTTAGGAGTAACCTCCAAAAAGCCTTCGCACGAAGCACAAGTGCTGTGCACGCCGAGCTGGCGCTTAAAGCAGCTCCTTGATGCTTCCAAGCAAGCCGGGAGCCACGGAGCGAGTTGCGGCTCCGGCCCGGCGCAAGCACGTTTAAGAGCAGGGCATGGACCGCGCGCACTGTGAGCGGCGCGGAGCGTCTCCATACAGACCTGCCCTGCTCTCCCGCTTCCTGCACGTGGATCAGGACCGGTTCCGCTGTGCAGAGCTAAAGCTCGGGGCCCGTGCGCCCACCTGAGCGGCTCTGCGCCCTCACCCTGAGCGCCCCGGCACCCCTCTTGCAGATAGCCTCTCAAGAGTGGCCGTGTGCCACGTTCCAGGCACCCATCTCCTCCGGGATGCGCACGTCTCCATCCAGGAACAACGTGCAGTTCAGGAGGCAGAGAAACGCACGGCTGTAAAGAAGCCGTCTCCTGTCAGGAAGAGCCAAGGAGAATACCAGACTCTGGCAGAAATTCAGGAACTTCCTTGCACCGTAAGAATCAAAGACAGCAGCTGCCAGCCAAGATAATTTGATTTCGGAGGCTTACGCTGGGCCTGACCCAGCTCCTGCTCAAACCAAAACAGCCTTCCCTTTGCCTTGCACCACAGTCCACTCCATGCGGTCCCGCTCCGGGCCTCATCCTTCCTCTACAGTAACTGGGACGATGCTCCCGCTCCACCAGGTGCAAGTTCCTACGCTCCCCGCGCTCTCCCCTCTGCGCAAAGCGGCCAAAGTCAAGACACCAAAATTAAAACAGGTTCACCTGAACTCCAGGACACCATGGCTCTCCTGCTCCCACTTCAGAAAAACTGGAGCTGGACAAGACCACGTATTACAGAAATAAACAGCCCCATGGCGCATACGATCACTCAACAGCAGTCGGAAGGACCGATTTCTGGGAAAATTTAATGTAAATGGTTCCACATGGATGGAAAAAGCTGACATAAACAACTGTGAGCTATTTATGGCAGACTAATTCAATTATAGCTGACTAATTAAATTAGGGAGCAACCCTAAGAGCTACAACCCCAGCAGCCCATTGCCAAGGCAGGGGAACAGCCATGGTGGTGGAACGGAGCAGGGGACGGTGGCAGGAGCAGTGACCTGTGTCTACCTCAGCCTGTCCTCGGAGGAGCCGGGGTGGAGCACGTGCGTCCAGGAGACCCTGAGCTGACTCCCATAAAGTGATACAATTTACCCTGGAAGATTAAAGAGAGTGAAACTATAGACAAAGCCTGAAGATTGGCCAAAATCCAAGCCAAATGCTGAAACCAAATCCCACCACATAAAACCATATGTTGCCATTTTAATTTCAATACATTTCTAAGGTCTGTGATTTACATTGAAAGGCTGGTTGCTACTAAGAAAGACTGATATTTCTTTTATTAGCATTATTCAATGTATGAAGAAAGACTGAATGGGTTACAACAGCTATAACAAACTCTGTCTCTGCTCAGGTTGTGAAATTTTTTTTTAGCTTGCTTTAAGCCCATGTCATTCCAGAAGAACAATGTGGCTTTATGGAAAACCACCCTGAAGGCCTTTTCTTTCGAAAGACTTTGGATGCTAACAAGGCAAGCCCTTCGGAGATACATGACAGAGGTACCATACAACCCCATAAGGGAGCAGGAGATCTGTTATGAGAAATTTGGCGGCAGCTATGTGCATATCCACCTAGCAATGCTTGCAGGCCGCGTGGTTCACATCTGGACCACCCAGGAGCAAAGTTCAAATGAGACAACCCTGGGGTTGTTCCTGTTCTTGGGACATGGCTGCAGAAGATGTTCCAGAAAGGCCACGGAACCAGACAAAAGGAATATTTAAAAAAAAAAAAAAAAAGTTTTCACATGCAGTGTCAGACTCCAAGGGAAAATCCCTGCTCGGAGAGGCTTATCCCCTACCTACCTCAGGCTGTTCTCTTAGGGAAGGGCACAGGACCTAGGTCTGCTGGAGAACGGAGCTCGAAACTCCACGGGCACAAGGAGACACGGTGACGCGGCGCACGCGGAGCAGGACCTTGCCGCAGCGTTGCCGTATCGCAGGCTCTGGAGCCAGGGTTTGTTGGCCCACGGTCCCAGCTCTGCAGGACACAGTGTCCAGGGCACCGGGTGCTGCGGCCACGAGGGCGCCCCGGGCACACGGTCACTGCAACCAGCTCTACAGCCTCTTCATTCGAGCAAAGGAGGGGAAAGAGGGTGACAGCCTTGAGCTAGAAACATGTGTTCAAAGAAAAGGCATCAAGAGACATAAGCTCGCCAACCTGCAAAACGCATCTTGGGCCTTGAAGCAGCTAAAGGCTGATGGTCTCCGAGCCCATACAGAAAACGGCTGCAATCGTTTTGGCTGCACTTACCCTGGAGGTATGCACTGACTGAGACGGCAAAGGCAGGGAGCTCGAGTCAGGAAAAATAATTATTTTAACAACCAAATCTAAAATATGTAAAAGTTAGCAACGGCTTTGCAAACAGGAAATTTTCTGTCGGTGCAACTGTTATAATGATCATGGGACCACGAGGTGCCCGGGGTTATTTTAAGGCGCTTCCTCCTCCTGCGGCGGCAGCACACGCCGCTCCACAGGGCCACTCTGTCCCCGTGCCCTCCGCGCTGTGCGGAGGGACAAGGGAGCAACGTTCCCCACAGCCCCTGCTTAGATCAGCAGTTATGTCATGTTTGCTAGGTTAAAATACCTTTCCCTTCTCCACCAGCAGGGTTAGGGCCCTCTCAAATTACTGCTCTAGTAGAAAAGGCAGCAAATCTGGTGCTATTTTCTAGCACTTGCAAGCAGTTGTTTCCAGCACAGAGTTATCCAAGAGGATGCGAGCAGCTCCGAAACGCTGTTCTCGGCGCTGCCCCTCGCTAGCAACAGAGCGAGGAGCGACTCCGAGTTAAGCTCTGTGAAAAACGACTTCCCGGGCAGCTTCTGCTCTTCCTCCTGGTCTCCCCTTGCCTTGGAGCAAGACGAGGTGCTCTCCCGAAAGACGTGATTCATCGCAGAAAAAGCAGCTTATTTCTGTTTTTATTTCTAAACATCAATTTTAATTCCCAGTGAAACACACCGGCACGCACCGAGCTCCTCGCTTGGCGCGTGTTTATACAACAAGCAACTTCACGGCCGCGCTGGACGAGAGGCTCCGTGGGAAGAGGACCTTTCCTGGCTGGCGTTTTGGCCCACAGCAGATCCCAGTTTGCATCTATGTTAATTCTCCTCTTACCCACACTGAACCCAAATCTGAGCCCAGTGAAATCTTCAGGTCCTTCCTCGGAGATTTTTAGCCATTATCAAATTCTCCTGGATTTAACCCAAGATTATCTAAGAGCTCAGTGTGGATTTCTGGTGTTGCCTATGAACCTGTTGGTTGAGTGCTTTGAAATACACTCAAAAACTGTCATTTTCATGTCATCTTCAGAAAGGTGAGGAAAGAATTGCTTGAAAAGAAAAAGAAATACATATTCCTGGTCTCCTTGGTGGAGCAGAGGGTGGTAGAGCTTCAGCCCACCGTGTCCCCCAGGCACCCGAGTACAGAGCTACTGGCCAAGAAGTGCCCCCCTTGTGCCCACGCGTGAGCCAGGCACCGCACAGGAAACAAGGGGACAAGAATGACTTTGGACAGAGAGCTTAAGAACAAGAACATCCTCCATTTGAACGTCCTGACCCAGAGCAGAATTGCTTTAAAATCCTTTTCAAGCAAGAAGTCATTTTTGATCAGAATTCCCGAGCAGATGCAGATCCACCGTGACTCTCCCGCGCAGTCAAAGCCTGAGAACCAAATTCCGTCCTCGTTTGCATAAGCATAAAGCTCAAAGCCTCATCAAATACTTCGTGTTCATGCTGATATAAATGCAAGCAGAATTTGGTCTGAAATACCTTGTTTTTCCCTCCTGACTTTATTACAGCGTGAGCGTTAGCCTGCACTTGGGGTTTCCTTTGAAGCCATTTCCTGGCAAGCAGACAGAGCAGCAGGGATGTGCTCCGACACGCCAGACGCACCCGGAGCGCGCGAGCGGAGCGACGGAGCCGCGAGCGCCGCCGGCCCGAGCCCCGCGCGCACAGGGGAAGGCGCTGCAAAAACTAGAGACCAGCAGCGAAAACATAACCCGTAACGGGGGGCAAGGCCACTGTGCCATGTGCGTACTTTAAATGTTGGCACAAGAGGAAGGAGAGCACTTGAAAGGCAAGGAAGGAGCAAAGCCCTTCCCAGGGAGGTTAGGCAGGAAAAGGGGCAAACAGGACTCAGCGCTTCCCCGGAACGTGCACGGTTTTATCCAGCAGCCTTTACGGACTGCTGCGAGCGGCAATGCTGTTGCAGTCGCCTGCCAAGCTCATCCCTAATAGTGTCCTCCCTAACGAGCCACATTTTTTTCTATTATAATTTAGTAACAAGCCACGGAGAACTTAAAACTGGAGCAATAATATTGCACTTAGCATGAACATGGATGTTTTTTCCCCATTTAAAGAACTCAAACGCTACTGGTGGCTCTTCCAAACAAACCCTTTTCCACGCACGTCCACTCTCCCCTCTATTGACAGGGACAGGACATGGGGAACCTTCCCACTGCTGCTAAGGAAAGAAGGAGAGGAGGAATGGGAAGGGTCTCGTCCAGCTCTGCACTGCAGGGCTGCAGGTCCTGTCCCCCCCGAGCTCAGCCCGATCCCACATGGAGCTCGGCTGGGGCGTCGGGAGCTGCATGCGGATATTTACAGTGCATGTAAATCAGGGAGATCCATATCTCTTCATCACAGAGAATTCCCAAAACACAAAAGGCAGAAAAGTTAACGACTCGGCTTGCCAGCCATCTGCATTAACCCACTTACCCCATGTGGCATTAAGGAAAACAAGCTACGTGTTTATGCCATCCCACTGGGACGCAGCAAGCTGAACGGTTCGAGACCTGGCAAGACCAGATGCTCTTTGATGGTGCAGCCACACACCCCTGCCATGTTCAAAACAAACCAGAAGAGCAGCTTTCCAGGACTCCATTCCCACACTAGTGTTTCTAAACACTCACACGAGGGCCGCAGAGCCTGTTAACCAAAGCGGGCAACACCTGGAGCACAGGACACAGTTCTGAGCCGCTTGAGCCCCCGCGGAAGCTCGTGTTAACTTCAGCTTAGTCCATGTTCCATCACAGAGGCCTGATTCTCTAATCTGCTGACAAATATCCACATCCAGTAACAAAAGGGAGTTCTGCACCCCAAGAGCTTGTGCTCTGAAAAGTGGCAGATCCAACCCAGAACTCCTGTTTCTTCCCCTGAGAATAGAGAAAAGCATCTAGAGACAGAGGAGCCATTGAGAGCCCCCAAAATCTCTATTTTCCACTCAAGAGAGACTGCACAACCAACCCAGCCAAAAAGGGGATCATTTACAGCCTGGAGCCACCTGGTCAGGACCCATCCCTGCACAGAGGGGCAGCATAAGAGCTGCCGAACTCCCCCAAACCTGATCCCAGCATCCAAGCCTGCTTCTCCCCTCTTAGCTCTAGAAAATAATTATCACACTGACCACAGCATTAGCAGGAGAAGACACCTTCTCAAGGCTCATCCCCAGATAAATTACCCTTTAATCAGACCCTGAAAGGACCATCTGCTTCCTTGCAGCTGCAAGTAGTTTATGGAAATCCTGCAGGTCTCCTCACTTCACAAAATTCAGCTGGATGAGAAAGCTGCAGCCAGCCACGCTTTAGAGAAGAGCAGAAAGGCACCTCAAATTCCAACGACGCAAAGCAACGAACCTCCTTGAAGTTATCGAACGCCGAGAGGATGATCTCGTGCCCTCCTCGGACCAGGCACACGGCGGCCAGCAGCTCCAGAACGAGGGCTTTGGTCCTGCGGGGAAGAACAGGGGAGCATCAGCACGGGGACGGGCGGGAGCGGGGCGCTCTTCGCAGCCGGGGTCTTCCTCGCCTCCCGCGTGGGACGGGTGACACCGAGCGCCTCCGGACCCGGGGCGTTTGGGCTCTCCCAGGACCATGCTCTTGTCTGGGCAACTTTTAACCATTTTAATGCATCAAACCATGCAAAAATCTCAGTTACAAAACGCACACATGGAAACGCAGGCAGACTGGCGTCGGTTACGTAAAGGTGGCAGGCACAGACCGTGCCAGGTTCCTGCAGGTCGCACTCCAGCACAATTCCCTTATGCAAACTGGAAAAAGGGGGTGATACAAAGCCCCCTCACCACACACCAGCCATTAGTCAGCCCTTCTCACCGCAAGCAGCCCATTTCCGAGTCCCCTCTTTAATGAACGTGCTTTTAATACAGGTCTGCACTTTTCCTGATAGGAATCTGAATAATTTCCTATGATAATTCACATTATTCACAGCCACAAAAAAATAAGAAGCGATTCTCTGAAGCGAATATAGGATGTTTTTGCACGTCTTTCCCCTCCTGAGCAAGAAATGTGGGCAGAGTGGTTGCCAGCAGCGCCAGCACAGGCGCATTAACGAGGATGAGAAGACAGCAGCTTGCCGGGCGGGCAGCTCGGCGCAGGGCACATGAACAGAAATAAGGACCAGGCTGCCCCCACGGCACCACCAGGGCTACTCGGCCTGAGGAACCACCAGCAGACATTGAGATCATGCACACACACACACACAATTAGTCCAATGCTCAAGGGCTTGCTCAAACCAGATGTTACAGAGAAAGAGGTACCTTCGGGCTCTCCCAGTACCAATGTTACCTTTGGAAACCAAGTAAAATGTTCACTTTCCCAGGAATTTTTTAATGGGTCACATTGAGTTCTTACTCGTCACTGTTTTTTTCCTGCCATAAAAAGAAAATCCACACTCTTTCAGATGAGCTCAAGGAGTTTTTGCCATGGGCTGTGCGCCACATCCTGCGGCCAGGCCGGGGACAGGACCGGCACTGCCAGGTCGGTGGCACCACTCGAGCACAAGCAGAAGGGACAGAGCTTTGGGTTGTGCCCCAGTGTCCCCAAGGTGCCCTGGTGCTTTGCCCAGCGCGGTGGCATCTCCCTGGGCTGATGCTTCCCTGTCCACAGAGGCCAGCTGACCCTAAGCTCCCAAAAATCATGATGGGACTAAAACAAAGAGGATCTGAACAGCAGCAACATTAATCTTTGCCTTTAGATTATTTTAGCCACTTCTCAAAGCATTTTCCACATCCAGAAAAAGATAGAAAAATGTATTTAAATGATGAGAGCTTAGGCTCTCTCTTGATCACCTGATTTTTCCATGCCCTATTTCCAGGCATGGGACACCAAATGTCCCATGCCTGGAAATACGTGCTAAATCACGTGCTGAACTGCTGGTTATCAGCAGGGTCTCCTCTTGCGTGGCAACAGAGCTGCAGTGCTTAAGTGGCACACTGTTACTGAAAGGGCCAGCAGCTTCTGCAAGCAGGGGAACTAGACTGCCAGCACTTGTCTGTTTGCACCATGCTACAGATACAAGTTGATTCAGAAAAGAGCCCAAATTTTTGCTATGGGTCTGTGCATAAATATACCTGTGAAAATCAATGCCACTACATTCTTCACTTTAAGAGCAAGTATATCCTACCTGGGATTCTTGTTGTTCAAACTTAGTGCAATTTCGTTAACGGCATGTGGATGTGACATGACCATATTGAATCCATACTGAAAAGTGAAGAGGAAAATATTGTTTCAGCTTTGAAACTGAAAATATTATTTTTAAATCCAACAAATTACGTATCTCTGACCAGACCTGGCAGTCTCCCGCCTGCTGCAAGCCAAGCACAACGCTGCCAGGTTTACAGAGCCCATCAGCACATCTGCATTTAATGTGGGGCAGAACAGGCACCTGCGTGGGGCCCGGAGGCCTCAGCTGCCCCTGGGAGTCCCAAGAGCCCCCCAGGAGCCCTGGAAGCTGCTCCAGGACCGACCTCCCTGCCTGCCTTCCCCCGGCTTTCGCTCCGACAACCAAGTGTGTCATTTGCTCTCTAAAGAGGAATTTGCGATTCGGCTGCCAAAAATCTCCTGTTTCCTAATGTGCACGCTGCCGCGGAATGACTGCTGCACGCAGCAACTGCAAAAAGGCTTGGGTTTGTTCTCTAAACATGAAAAAAAACTGCTTTGGAAAATAGCATATGGGCTATTACCATGAGATCATTGTTTGCACCCTTCCCATTAACGATAAGAAATCCAAAGGCTCCTGGGAGCTGGTAGCACCAGGAGCAGGGTGCACATGTGCGGGGGTGTGGGGACACCTCCCAGGCCAATAATCAAGGTGTTCGTCACAGACCTGCTTTGAAGCACATAACTCTTAGCAGTTACTGGTTTATAAGAAAATCCAAAGAATCTGAAGCTACCTGGGCATGCTGTATAATTACGGCATCCCACTGAAGATGAAAGCAGCTCATTAAAATAAGATTAACTTTGGTTTCATTTTTTCTCTGACTTGCAGTTACTATAACTACCTTGCTTGCAATAAACTTATCACACAGCAAAATCTTGTATTTTCCATCCAATATTCCCACTGTATTTCCCACATGTTAGTGCTAAATTGTGAGACAAACGATAGTTTCTGTTGCGTAGGTGCATTTCCAACGAGCAAGGGCAAACTGCGCCCGTCACTACAAACAGCCCGTGGCCCTGTGTGCAGGCGCTGCTGGGATTTCTATGGCGCTTCCCATGTGTGCAAGGTGAGCTGCATCCTCTGTGGTTCAGGGCTGTGTTATGTGGCTTCCCAGGGAGGCTCTCCAAGAGCGAATAAGGATTTAAACCCCCACACTGGTGCTGCAATTCACAGCTAAGCTTTGCCCCCCGCTGCAAGCAGTGAAATAGTTGTTGGTCCCAAAGAACTAAAGTGGAAGTACCTGGTAATTCATTATGGCACGTAAACACATGATGCAGACATGAACGTCGTCTTTTTTACTCACTAATCTGGAGTTTTTTAGCGTTCTTCGGCTTGGCAAGGTATTATACCTGCAAACAAAAAACAAGTCTCGTCAATCACAGGACCCCTGTTCGGCGGCAAGGATAAGGCAACGGGAATATTTGTGTGTTTGGTGGGAGCCCACAGCACTCGCAGCTCTGCAGAGGGGGGAACCCGTCCCCGCACGCACCACCGCGGGGCAGCCCCACAGGGATCCACCCAGGCCCCACGGGGGAGGTTTTCCTGGTAAACTACACCAGTTTGCACTATTCTGCATGAGCAACGGCGCAGGCTTTTAGTGAAATGAACCCACCAGCAAATGCATTCCGTCCTGTGGCAGCACATACATGAGCATCGAAGAAGGAGGCCTCTCTCCTCCTCCAGGGCTGAGCCTCCTGAAAGCCCTCCGAATTATTTCAGGAAAATTCACCCTTTGGGAACTTCCTCAGAATGGCGGCATTAGTTATTATAATTAAAACCCCTAACTGGTGAATCCACGTAAAATTAATTAAATAATTGCACGGAACAAATATAGAGAAATCTTTAAATCTGCCATTTCCTTGGCAAGTTAAGTGGAGGCTGCGTTTCGGTGGAGCCAGCCTCAAGGATGATCCTCATTTATGGAACAAGCAGGGGGACGAGCAACCAGCATCGCGCCGGTCCCTCCCTGCGCTGAGACCCCCACCCGGGACATCTGCTTTTCTTCACACTCCCATATTCTGACCTCAAAAAAGCAGGAGGAAAGTGCAAAAACGCTCTCAGAAAGAAAGGAAGCGAAGCAGCACGGTGCACGTGCCAATAAGAGCTTCGGGATGTCCCAACCTGCCCGAGGAGCAGCTCCGTGGCGGGAGGAACGGGGAGTTCACAGAGGAGAGCCGACCCGCAGAGCAGCACAGCAAACACAGGTCTGCCACAGCAGCACCCCACCTCCCGGTGCCACTGTCACCTGCGCAGCAAGCAGGGGCAGCTCCGCTTCTCCCAGCTCATACGGGAAACCACTGCAGGGGAAGAGGTTCTGGATCATGGCACCAGGGCTGCAGTCACTGTTCCTAGCCACAGTTTAACATTTACCAGCACTGGCAGCCAGCGACGCCTCAGTCCCACTGTGAGCATATTCCCAAGCAGGGAGGAGAGCAGGGCCGAGGAACAGGCTGGCCTGCAGGAAGAGAAGGCGGCTGCGACTCTGCAGCCTGTGAAACGCCAAGGAAAGAGAACCGGCGCGGCAAGGGGCACGGACACGAGCGGCACGGCGGGACGGAGCGGGAAGGAGCTGCCGTTCCTGCCCACGATCCAGACACAGCGATCCGGACACCGCGATCCAGACACAGAGATCCAGACACAGCGATCCAGACACCGTGATCCAGACACAGCGATCCAGACACAGCGATCCAGACACCGCGATCCAGACACCACGATCCAGACACGGAGATCCAGACACGGAGATCCAGACACAGCGATCCAAACACAGCGATCCAGACACCACGATCCAGACACAGCGATCCAGACACCGTGATCCAGACACAGCGATCCAGACACAGCGATCCAGACACCGCGATCCAGACACCACGATCCAGACACGGAGATCCAGACACGGAGATCCAGACACAGCGATCCAAACACAGCGATCCAGACACCACGATCCAGACACAGCGATCCAGACACC